TCCTTTGTTGAAGCAAATTACCAGATGTTTGGATTTCCCTAATCCAGAATACCAATGTCTCAATCTCCGAAAAAGCATTGCTTGTGTGGCTATAAGGATCAAAAATAGTGTTGTTCCTACTGTTTATCTTGGTGGAGATACGGATAATATAGATGAATCGTGTTAAATTGCAACTAAAAAGGTTGTGTATAATCTTATAAAAAGATATGACATAGTTGTTAAAGATGTAACTGCTTTACATAAACAAATGTATGAATGTTGTGGACAATCGTATGGTTACAAGAAAGAGGAATTGGAGGCGATTGAAAAAGGAAAATCAAAGGTTTATTTTCATGGAGATATTTCTACTGAAATTGGTCATAATCAAAGAAAAGTTGTTGTAGATTTCCTTGAGGTGTTGAGGTCTATTTTCAGATGTGTTGATGTAAAATGCACTCCAATTGAAATTATTGAACAATTCCCAAATCAATATTTTTCTTGGTTTACCATCATTCACCATAGGAACAGTTCAGGATTTAGGTGTTTGTTCAGTGAATTTTGTTTGAGTCAGGCTGCAGCTAAGCAAGACCTAGCTAGAAAAGTTGTTGATTATCTCATTGATGTGTGTAATATTGAAATAGTGGATGCTAATTATAGGGCAACGACATGTAGGTTTGATGCTTTGTTATGTGTTCTGGAGAGGGAAAGTTATTTAAGTGCAAAGGAACGTGTGTTGGGTGTTAAAGAATAGCTGGAACCTACTTCAAGTCTTGTAGAGCAGGATTGCGTGGTTCCTGTTGGAGAGGATTTCCAAGCTCCAATGCCTAATCCACTTGTTATAGTTTTCAATAAGATTGAACTTAAGTCTCAAGTTGCAGAATCATTTGCTATTTCTGATTCTAGCATTGAAGAAATCCCAAAGGAGGTAGAGTCAGAAGATTTACATGGACATTTAAAGCGTGTGAGGCTTTTAAAGGATTAGATGTTTTAGGTTTAGCTTGGAGTTGAAGGAGTGTTAACTGCTCATTGTTTGGTCTTTTGTTATTGAATGCTTCAACTAGGATAGTTTTTTTGTTGGAGCAAGAAATTGAAGTTGTTTAGCTTTTGTATGTTGCACATGATAATTTTTTGTGATGCTTGTGCATTGGACTCTCTAAAGTAAACAGTTAGATAGGAGTTTATATTAAAGAACTTGGCTATGTGATGGTTGTAATAGATTATATATAATTAATGACAATGAATTTTTTGTGTTTTTTGCTCTAATCTTCCTGTTTTCAATTACTTGCTGTTTGTTATCTTGCTTTATGCAGTTTTAAATCTTATGGTATGTCTTGTTATGAAAATACAGATTACTTAGATCACGAGCTTTGTGTAGTAAAAAAATAGTTAATTAATACAACAACGCTTGCAAAGACAACGTATCGTGGAATTTGCAAAGAACAACAGGATATGGGTGAGTTTTTTCATGTATCTAACAAAATTTAGATTTAGGAAAGATTCATTTATAGTCCAATGATTTGAGGGTAATAGTTTACTAAATTAACGCTGATCACTAATTGACTAGATCGATTATTACAAGCATCAACGGATTCAAAAAAATACAGAAGTAAACGTCAAAGAGGGTTAGAAAGTGGATGTGATGATGTAGAGGCTAGTAATGAGTCCAAGAAAAAATCAAGGAAAAAAATTCAAGTGACAAGTAATTTTAAAACTCTTATTTGTAGTAAACATATTTTATATTTAGTTGAATTGGTGTGGAGATAATTGCTTATAAATTTGGTGTTCAGTATTAATAAGCACCTTCATCGACAAGAAGATACACCAATAACCGCCTTATGGATTTGGAGAGAGGATGTAGTGATCGAATGCAAAGGTATTTAGAGGTTGAATGCTTTGGTGTAATAGAAAAGTTTATTAAATTTTTCTATGTTTTTGTTATTGATTTCAGTTATTAAACTAAAACTCAAAATGTGTTTTTGTAATTTTATTTTAAAGGTTACAGGAGAAATCTTATGAAAATTGTGGAAAAGAAAAAGGGAGCACAATTGAAGTATCAAGTAATTAAAGTGTCATTTTTAGGGAATTTCTACATGTTTTTACATAATAAATGTATTAATGTAAAAAAAAAAAATTTGAAATTTCATTGATCACATTTTTTATAGATGGTCTTGTTTCAAAAACTAGTGAAAGAGTTTTAGTTCAGGTTTTTGCATTACCTGCAGCTCAAATGACAGGTAATTTTAGTGGCTCATTGTTGATGTTGCAAATTTATTGTATATTCAATTGAATTGATGTGGAGATAATTGCTTATAAATTTTATGTTCATTATTAATAAGCACCTTCATCAACAAGAAGATACACCAGTAGCCGCCTTATGGATTTGGAGAGAGGATGTAGTGATCGAATGCAAAGGTACTTAGTGGTTGAATACTTTGGTGTTATAAAAAAATTTATTAAATTTTGTTATGTTTTTGTTATTGATTTATGTTCTTAAACTAACACTCAATATGTGTTTTTGTAATTTTATTTTAAAGGTTACAGGAGCAATCTAATGAAAATTCTGGAAAAGAAAGAGGGAGCACAATTGAAGTGTCAAGTAAATACAGTGTCATTTTTTGGAAACTTCTACATGTTTTTACATAATAAATGAATTAATGTTAAAAAAAAGGTATTTGAAATTTCATTGATCACATTTTTTATAGATGGTCTTGTTTCAAAAACTAGTGAAAGAGTTTTAGTTCAGGTTTTTGTATTACCTGCAGTTCAACTGACAGTTAATTTTAGTGGCTCATTGTTGATGTTGCAAATTTTATATACAACTGGTTTGGAGCTTTTGGCTTTTGAAATTGATTTGATGTTTACCATTATAAACAACTTCCCCAGCAAAGGATTACAAGAATAAACATCGTACAAATTTGGAGGGTGAATGTAGTGTTCCAAAAATAAAGGTTTTTAAAGACTTTACGGTATATTATTGATATTTATTTTCATAGTTAGAATTTGACTGAATATGTGTTTCAAATACTGTCTTAAAGGTCATAGGAACAATCTGATGCAAGTTTTCAGAATAAAGAAATCAGTAAAGTCCAAGCGATAAGTAATTTTTTTTTTTACTTTGTTGATATCGCAATTTTACAGTAAATATTTGTATTTTAAAACTCCTGAAATGAACATTGTTCATATTTTTCACAGGGGGATGTGTTGCTCTAATTGGAAAAAAATTCCTACCAAGTCTTATCTGCTTCCTGCACCTACTTACTGTCATAGGTGTATGGCTAAAAAATTTGCTTTTGAATCACTTCACTTCTGTGTGATGATGGAGAAATCAAGATTGTTGTTAATGAGTACCCTCCATTGCTTGTGTGGTTATTAGCTTCTACAGATGAAGAAGCGAAACATTTCAGGAAGTATGTGCGATCGTATAATAATTTGTTCGCTTTCACTTCATTGGGAGGTGATCACAAAGCTGAAACATTTACACACACTTTAAAATCACTCGATTTTTTTATTTTTTTTTTTATTTTTTTTATTTTATTAAAGTAATCATAACTGATACGCACAACTTACTTACACAATACAAAGTATATAGTTAACCAATACATCAAAATATCATTATTGTAAGATTGTAATACCACTTATTTTTATAAAAAAAACATACTTTATTTCATTATGCAATACAAATTATTCCTACATTTAAAGGAAAACACTAAATTCTCAAAGTATATACAGAAACTAAAACTACGAAAAACGATCAACAATATCAACACCCGATACTAACCATTTTGGACTATCGCGCGCAAGGACAACTAGTACACCTAAAACTAGATAATATTGACATGTTATGAGAAAGAAATAGATCATTTGATAAGAAATGTAGAAAATGTAATAAATAGAAGTCATGCATGTAGGCCATATTGGGGCAATTTTTGGTAAAATGCTATTTTGATTCAATTTTAAGCCTTAGACACCTAATACTAGGTAACATTGACATGTTATGAGAAAAAAATAGTTCATTTGATAAGAAATGTAGAAAATGGGCAAAGTAAAAGTCATATAGGCTATATTTGGGCCATTTTGAGTACAATGCGTCTTAAAACTTAATAAAATGCTCTATTGATGTGATTTCAAACCTTAGACACCTAATAATAGCCAACATTGACATGCTATCAAAAAGAAATAGTTCATTTGATAAGAAATGTAGAAAATGGGTAAAATAGAAGTTATATAGGCCATTTTTGATAAAATACATATTGTTTAGCCTATTTAATTAATTCTAACATAATTTTCTGTATTTCAAGTTTTGCAAGGTACAAAAGGATGCTCCGTTGTCAATCAAGGAACTTAATGAAGTTCGAGACATGTTGGCGTCTTTTATCACCTTTAACATGTAAATGTCACTTTTATTGTGAATTTATGTTTTGTTAACTTTTTAACTACATTATTATTCATTAATTACTTAATATCGTTTGTATATATATATAACACGTTTTATTTATTGTATTGCATTTGGGAATATTTATATCTATATATGTATTGTTATTTTTAATATTATTTATATCTTAATATAATTATTAATAATAATATTATTATTGGTAATAATAATAATAATAATAACAATTATTATTATTATTATTATTATTATTATTATTATTATTTATATTATTGCTAGAATTACAGGAAAAATAGGTTATTATTGCTGGAATTATAGGAGTTTTTTTTTAATATTATTGCAAGAAAACAGGAAAAAAAATTACATAAAATGGCACCAGTTAACCGGTGCCAAAGTGCCTACCACCAAAAAAAACTGCGGGAGTTTATATTGGCACCGGTTAACCGGTGGCCAAAATAGTCAATGGCACCGGTAAACCGTTGCCAAAACTCATTTATCCCACCGGTTTTGAACCGGTGGCATATGTGGGAGGAATTGGCATCCCCCACATATTCAGCGGTTCAAACCGGTGGCATATATGGGGTTTGAACTGGTGCCTTTTTTATTTTTTCTACTAGTGTAATGAGCAAGATTTCAGCACAAACCAAAATGCACCATCTCTGATTTATATTGCTATGGATTCTTAGCGAGGGTAGCAATTAAGCCTCATTTCGTTACTCCACAGGGCCAAGCAAGCTAGCATATTTACAACGTTACTCTATCAAATAAGCAATTCCAGAGTGCTGAACAAAAAAGTATTGGTGAAAAAGTAAAAAAAAAAAAAAAGGTATGAAGTGTCATTCTTGCGAGGGATTAGCACCAGGTGCGTCTTCTTCAGGTGTGTTAGCCAGAGACTGGTCTGTATCTATTGGATCTGTAATATAATCCAAGGGACCCAGTGGATCTCCAAAAAGTGTGGACAGTATTTGTCTGTGACACTCATCACAGAAGTATAAGTAAGAGAAGTGACCTTCACTCGGAAGCAGATGCAAATTAGTGCCTGGTAAGGTGCGGCTGATGTACTGAGCCATAGATGGTGGTACAACATGATCATCCAAGCCCTGTCACCAATTACCATTTTCAGTGGAGTGCTAAAAAACAAGTAAAATATATTGAACTTTGAGCATTGTGTCAGTCCTTAAGCAGGTGAAGTTTTGACAAATTTCTAAGAGACAAATAGATGATAATTATCAACCACAATCTTGTTGGCCGGTTGTCTTCAACAAATTAAAAATAGGCCCTACAGTTTTAACAATTATGTGAGTAGGTCAGCATTTAGTAAGCATAAGTTCTGTTCAGTATAATAAGTTAAAGCTAATTCCAAAAAGTCAATAAAAAATAATGGTCCTCTCGTTAACAAAGCTGGAAAGATTTCAAACATGTTAGCTGATATCAGGAATGTATACGGATTTTTTTTTTTAAAAAAACAAAGACATAATGACACAATTTGGAAAATCAGGGGCTATGAAATTGAAAAACGAACATCAAACTGTGTTATAAAGGAACTAGTGATAGAAAAACAGTGGATGGGAGGGGAAAAAAAAACGAGTTGAGACAAACCTGCCATATGTGTATTGGCCCTGAAAATCCAGTTAATGCACATTCTGCTTGCCTGTATATGGACTTCAGCCATGGAAGGATCCCTGTACCCGGGCACCTCCTCCTCATTTGTAAGTCTGCAAGGCTAAAACCCCAGTCTGAAACTTGTAGCACGGCTTCTTCAATGAATGATTTCATACGACCTTGTCTGACAGACTCTTCCACATCCCTCTGCCAAAATTCTTTAAAACTCTCCTTTTCAATCAAAGCCTTATCCTGCATAAGGGTGATGATCAGGGTTTACTAAGGCCTAAAGCATCATGTAAAATCTGTCTACACATTAAAAAACATACACTGGCATAATGTTGTCTTCTCTAGGAATGGTCTAAGGACGGAAAGATGTACCTAACCTAAAACAAAAATTTATCTAAAGCCGTACAGAGTCCCATGAAAGCAATTTTACCATAAAGCTAAGCAGTAGTAAGTAGTTATTACTGGACTTTGTAGTGACAAAAATTAATGACCTATTGGGTAGGTGTGGTAATAGCAGCAGATTTTGGATACAAAAAATGAGCATCATGTCAATGTGAATGGCAACCGTAATTGGTCTATGGACGGAAAGATGTATCTAACCTAAAGCAACACTTACAGCAATACCGAGTAATTATAATTATTACTACTTTCCTAGAGGTTGTAGTGATTAAAACATTAACGGCATATTGGATAGGAGTGGTAATGGACTAATAATGGCAATAAATTTAAAATACTTTTTTGTTTGAAGAGCCATATGCCATAATTGTAGTACTAATAAATACTAATGCATGTCCACCCCCAAATATAGCTTCTTCATAAAACACCACTTTTACTTCTAAAGCAGGCATGACTGGTAAAAATGAAGTTCCAATGCCATAAACATTGTCATGCCACTATTCTTACCAAATTATGTATAAATTCATTACTATCATTCCTGTCATTACCACCTAAACAGGCTGTAAACAATGAAAGTCAGATTAAATGATAAAAAGGACAAGGAAGTACATGTATAGAGGAAGCACAGAAGTATTGGTTATAAGTAACAAGCACAGAAGCATAGGTTACAAGTACCAAGAAAATCAGTAGGACCAAGGGCATAAAACGACTGCCTGATATCTACTTTGTATCTTTTTCCCTAGTTACATATTATTTCACAGGTGACCACATAAGTAAAAAACATACCTTTTCCCCGAGTGTCAGAGAGAACCATTTCTCAAGTGTTCCATGCTTTCCAGAAAAGAAGCTTCGGCGATAAAAATGAGAAAGAAAGCTGGGGAATCTCCTGGCTGTGGAGAACATGAACTTCCTTCTTTGCTCCCATCTTTCCCATGTCTTACTTATCTCTTCCTTAGTCATGCTCGATTCGTAAGGGTTAACCATAGGAGCAACAAATGCTGCACCTGCCAGTTTATTAAAACAAGCACCATAAACAGTTCAGTCACTCAAGGATACAGCATTGCTAAAGCTTGGACACTGATCTTTTAGTTGACCTCTAGACATGGTATCTGTACCTGCAATTCTGTTTGAGATAAACTTGATTGCTGCCCATGCATGCATTGCTGCACTAGAGTGTCCAAACACCCAGAACTTATCTTTCAGAGCCAAAGCATTAGCAAGGTGCTGCATATCCATGGCTGATGAGTTGAGGTTACGTGACGGGTCAGGGTCACTCTCACCAAAGCCAGGAAGATCATATGTTATCAAACGAACACCAAACTCTTCCAGTAGGGAGGCTTTGATTCCAGGTATACCTTTCATGCAAATACATCCAATTACAAAAGGGTAAAACAAACAGGCAAAAGTCCTCTAAGGTTCACCAATACTCTTATTTATCATTTTTGCACATATACCTGAAAGTCTTGAAGAAAGAAACGCATGTGGAGAAATCAGCGTAAATCTAGCTCTGTTGCCTGAAACACCCTGTTCAAGATATGATATATGCCGACCATCAGGAAGTAGTACAGTGCTAGCACTAGGAGGATGTATAAGCATTTTCTTCACAATTGGAGCTGGATTTTGGTGTGCGTTATTTACATTCAGTACTGCATGATAATCAAGACTATCAAACACTCAGACTTGAAAGCTCTCACAGATTAACGGTGAGAATACACCAGAATAGCATAGATAAGACCATAAGCGCATAAAATATAAGTAAACCTATGACATAAATATTGAAAGACAGATCACGCTAGGGAGAAAGTTTCTATATGTAATAATGACACTGGAAGATTCACCACAAAGAGAACAGCTACAGCCATACTTTTAGTAGGATCTATAACAGAAATTACTGCTAACTACAACGTCTCCCTATATATGTAGCAAATATGATAATTTGAAACACTCTCTTATACTCTACATCCGAAAATGAAGTATCTAAGTATATGATTTGAGACATCCAATTTGGGGTAAGAGTATCTGTGTTACTCAAAGTCAACTATCAATTAATCATAGTCGGACAGAGGTATATGTCTGGGAGCCAAACTCGCCCAACTAGTGAAAATTTTGCATTTTCCAGTCCAAAAGTGAAGTGTTTATATACAATACCTATGACTTCATCAGAGTACTGAGTTTCCAATTAAGATAGGTGAAGTGACATAAAGAGCCGAAATGACATAGGAGAGTATTATACCTATCTTATGATACTTCTATTATGCTATACACTGACTTCACCAATTAAGCATCAGAGAGAGAGAGAAAAAATATCCTTCATAAGAAAAGCACAGTTATTCCTATCATCATGGATTCCATATTGCAGTCACTATATAACCACTATGACAAGAGATTGTACAATAACAACAACAACAACAACAACAACAACAATAACAACAACAACAACAACAACAACAACAACAACAACAACAACTAATAATAATAATAATAAAGTGGTATCAACATCGTGACAAGAGAAATCAATCCATCTCAAAACTGCATTAACACAAAATCACAAACTACTCGGATGCTGACCAGCTTTTCTAGGGGCCGGTACCACCGTACCACTACTAAAGACATGAGATAAAATCTTGTCCATATCAGTGACTCCTTTTATGGCTCCCCATACACAAAAATAAACAATACCTTGACAACTCCAGTAAAAACAATAATAAACTACTAAACCGAAAGTAATTAAACCTACTAAACCTGAATTAATTAACAAATTACAAATAAAAACAATACAACAGAACAAATATTACCTGCAAAAGCGAGGATGAAAACGAAAAAAATCACAGGCCAAGCATGAACAGGGTCACGATCCTCAGGAAGATAATCATTCAAAAAACATAATCTATTAGAAATCTTAGCTAAAGGCGGTCCGAAATTCTGAACAAAATAAGAATCCTCAGCAACTAAACTCTGTTGAACAATGTCTTTACACCCTCTAGAAAGGTCTAACAATAGTTCACCCCATGCTTTAGCAAACCCTTTGATCTGATCTTTCAAATCCTCCTCTTGTTCCCTTGTATCTCCTTCGAAATGAACATCGAAATTGAATTGTTTTGGATTATCTAATGATAGAATTGGAGATGCTACAAATGGATCGCCATTGTTATTATTATATCTGAGCCCATCATCTACTAAGCTAGCTAGTTCCTCTCTCCATGAACCTGACTTTCCAATATCTGCCATTTTTTGCATCAAACTCAAGCTTCAAAATACAGTCTTAATTCATAAACTAATGATTTTTTTTATGATTTGGGTTCAAAATAGAAACTGGGTTTATCTTAAAATTAAGACTTTGGGTGTAAAAAATTTCTGCGTTTTTTTTGTACTTTGTATAAAGTAAATTTTAAAAAATATTAAATTATCAACTAATGAGCTCACTCTTTGTCAAAAAAAAAAAAAAAAAAAAAAAAAAAACTAATGAGCTCACTTTGATGACTTGATTTAAGCTTGAATTTGAAGCTTTGAGTATAAAATCAAAAGATAAAAAAAAAAAAAAGAAATTAACTGGGATTTTAGAGGTTAAGCTTAAATCAGAAGCTAAGATGATGGGTTTTTTTTGTTTTTTTTTTTTTATGGGTATTTTCAGAAATTAAAAAGAATCAGCTTGCTTGAAAATGAAGCATCACAAACATCAATGTCTTTTTCAACTCCCACAAAAATAAAACAAATAAAATAGCAGAAAAAGATAGGAAAAACTGATGGAATTCCCAGAAAACTAGAAAGATAGAGAAGAAGGGCCACAAAATCAGACAAATGAGAGCATCATTACAGCAATGAAACAATTGTTTGTGAGGAGGCAAAAAGGGAAGGAGAGAGACTGAAAGACTAGCATTTTTGGTAAACAAATTGATACAAACCACAACAAAACAGAAATTTAACCCTTGTTTTTTTTAAAAAAGGAAGTGTTTAAGAGTAAAAGGAGGAATTTAGTAATGGAAGATGGACCCCAAACCGACCAACAACTGCTCCACGCCTCCACCACTGACCGGACCTTGCGAATTAAGGATGAATTCTATTCCATGTGGGACCACCATTATGGAGTCATGGCCACGTCCTTGCTTCATTATTATGGAGTCATGGCCACGTCCTTGCTTCATTATTTACTCTTCACCGATGGCGGTTTATGTTCGGTGATACTAATGTCTCTAGTTGCATATGAGATTTATTATGGCATTTTGTTTATCCCATAGATTAACTAGGGTTTTCTCTTATTTATTAGGATATGTTTTTCTAATATATTGATTTGGGGATTAATTATGTGATTGTTTATCTTCTGATTTGCTACCATATTGTGGTAAAGGCCTTGTACTATATATATTCTGAATCAATACAATTTTGGGCAAGCTGAAAGCCTTTTCATAATTTACATGGTATCAGTCGCCTAGGTATTTCAAAACCATAAAACATGGTCGGCGATAAAGAACCACCACCACCCCCTAAAATTGAACCCAACTCTCAGTTCTACCTTGAGACTCAAGATTGTCCCGGAGACTTTATTACTCCTACTCGTCTCTTTGGGGCGTTCTATATCTAACACAATACAGATCGCCTATCTAAGATAGGCGCTTCATATTTAAGGTACAAAGTGAATAAACAACAAAGAAAAGAGAGCTGTCATCTTAGGAAAGGCGCTCTATAGCTACATAAAACCAGAACGCCTATCATAGATAGGCGCTCTCTATTCGTCACTTTTTTAAATAAATAAAAATAATAATAATAATAATAATAATAATAATAATAATTCATACGTAATAAATAAAACACCATAACAATAACATTTTATTTATAAAAAAAATTAAAATACAAGTATTTCAATCCTTGAGAAAAAAAAAATTATGTTACAAGGTTTCAAACATAGCTAATTAATTATCAATATGCTAACAGCTCTAGATCGAAAAGCACCGACTTATATTGCACCGCAATCATTCAGGCCACCACGCTTCCACCAAGCTCAAAAATAGAAAACCTGCACCGTACCAAACAACCGCAGATCAAGTTTTAAAATCAGAAAATAATCCCATTTATATCATATAAATCAATTGATAAAAGATAAAATTCATAAATTATTATATGAAAATCAGTTGATAAGAGATGGAAATCGGAATTATGACATGAAAATCAATTGATAAAATCATGCAAATCATAAATTATAAAACATAAAAATCAAATGATAAAATGAAAATTAGAATAAAAATCATTTTATAACATGAAAACCAAAACAGATCTAAACTACTCGTAATTGAGAAGTAAAACAAAATTATAAAATAAAAATCAAAAACTTGAATTAGAATTAAATCATGAACTATAGATCGAAAAAAACCCATAAAAATCATTCACTTTAAAACAACCAAAAAACGGATTTAAACATTAAATTCGAACACAATGAGATTACCCTTCATATACCATACCTTTATACATCTTTACACTTCACAATCTATTCTGAAGTAGCAACACCTCATTTTAACAGACCCAGACCTAACGACGACGGCTTATACGACTCGATCGACGGCGGCATTCGAGTGGAGCATTACCACTTCGCTGAAACTAATTTGAATGCAATTGAATCACAAAAAATAACAAATAAATTATAGTCAGAAATTTGAATTGAAACCAAAAATAACTAAAAATAAAACAGATCTAAGTAATAACAAAAACAACAAATATTATAATCAGAAATTTAAATTGAAACCAAAAACAACAATCTATCGTTGTTGGACGCTCGATAGATTATGGCTCAGTGACGCTTGAGGCTCGGTGGTGGTACAACAGTACGGTGCATAAGGATTTTAATAGGGGAAGAGGAGAGAGAATGAGAGGAAAATGGAGATTGGGGAAAGATGATAAAATGTTTTAGATCTAAAAAAAGAAAGAGAAAAGGAGATGGAGGGGGCGGCTTTAGTCAGTCATATTTTTAGGGTTAGGTGGATCGTGGGCTTTTGTTTTTTTTTTACTTTTTTTTTAAAAAAAAATACTTATAAAACAGTCAACTGAAAGAGGCGATCTATATTGCATAGAGAAAAATTGGGAAAATCATATAGAGCGGTTAAGTTGAACAGGCGATCTATAAGTTTTAACCTACAAAATGCTTAACTTACATAGGCGATTTGTATATGTCTAGAGATCGCCTATCCAGCTTGACAGTTGTATATAGTGCGTTACTTATTCCCTATTTTGTGGTAGTGACCACTCACCAGTCGACACGTGTCACCCTCAGATAACCTTGGGAAATTGCGGCCTTCAAGGCCCAATTGTAATACCCCGTATTTTTATACGTATTTTATTTAAAATAAATATTTGAGAAGTATTTAAAATAATTGAAATAATTTATTAAAAGTATTTTAATTATTCACTTTAATAAGTTTAGAAATATTTTATAAAAGGAAAGTTTATTTAATTAATTATTTTATTTAAGTTGGGGTTTATTTTAAGAAAGTTTTATTTTCGTAAAGTTTTATTAAGGAAGGGATTAGGAAAGATTAAAAAGGGAAAGTTTAGGACGAAGGGTTTCTAGAGAAGGGGTATAAATATTCAACACTTGAGGCAAAACAAACTTTGTCTAGAGTGGAGAAAACCCAAGGTAAACTTCTCTCCCTTTCTCCTTATTTTTCTTTCTCTTTATCCCTTTCCCCTTCTCGGCCCTCACCATCACCGCCGCCCACCACCACCACCACTACCACTGGTGGGCCGCCGGCCACCGGCAGCAGGCAGCCGCCGGTGCTGGAAGCAACCGGTAATGGCTGTCGGCTACCCAGTTTTTTTCTAACAAAAAAAAAATTTGTTTTAAAAACTAGTTTAATCCTAAATCTAATTATTAATTATGAGTTTTGTGATTTGATCATGACGTTTAATTATGAGTATCATGTAAATTAATTTTCAGATTTTATTTTTAATTAAAAAGTCTCAATTTTTGAAACCCTAGATTCTTGAATTATTAATTATTGAAAGATTATGATATACAATGGTTTAAACCTTTCATTTAAGTGTTTTATATCCTAATTACAACAAGTTTTCATTAAAATATAATGCTAGAATTTTTGGTAGTGCATTAAAAATCAAGTTTCTTTAAGGAATTTCAATTACCCATTAATTGGGATTAAAGTATGATGTTTTAAATATAATTTCAACTTATTTTAATTATCATGAGAGGATTAATAATAGTATATATTGCTGGAAATTTGTGTAGAGAGGATTTTAATACTCTTCTATGATTTTAAATTGTAGGAGACATCGAAGTGAGTGATTTCTATTAGTCGTGGCGATTTTAAGATCGTATACGAGGTATGTTCGCGTACTTAGCGTAATTTTATTGATGTAGTAGCGTGCTAAATGTGTTTAATTGATTACAAATAGTATCATGCTAGATTTGGTTGTTATTGGTGATTGAATAATGAAGCATGATTTATTTGTGATGGATTAATGGATGGAAAATTATAGTTTGGAATATTGTTTATGAACCACACTTTTAAATATGGCATGTTAAAGAGCATGTTTAATTAAACTAAATGTTTAATTTGGTTTGGAATATTAAAAGAGAATTTTATTATGGTTTATATAATTTTTGTTGATGCTTTAAGCATGGAAAAGGAGCTATGTACACGAGGAATAAATTATATATTGGTGCTTTAGTGCACTTAAGGTGTTTTAACACCGAGGGATAGGATTTGTGGCGCTATATGCGTTTAAGGTGTCATTGACACCGATATAGATTTAAAAAGGGTTCAACATTAAATTTTATGTGGTCACTTATTATTCAAAAATTAAATTGGGATATTTTATTGTTTGATTAATTATTGTTGATTGAATGATTATGGTTGAGAGTCATCAACAAGTTTAATAATATGTAAATAGCATAAAGTGAAAGAGATTACGTACTAAAACTCTTGGAACGTATATACCTTGAGTATGAACATATCAGGGGAGTTATGGGGTTTTATATTTAACCATAACTTCTACTGGAGTATAGGACGCTATACATTACTTTTATTAATATTATGCGCAGGAATTTAGCCACTTACGAGTGGTTATTGATGCTGGCATGGTTAGCTCCCGTGTCAGTAACTTCAATTTATTGGGGGAGGTTAGTTGGAAAACCCGTTCGATGCGTAATCAACGCTAAATATAAATTATGTAGTTGTCTAGTTGAGAAGTGTTGTTGAATGTTGTATGCTTGAAAAACAGGTGCAACAAGGTAAGTTGTGTGTTAATAGGTAAATGCATGTTAGTGTGTTAATTACGCTTATGTACTCAGCTTTGCTGATTGTGTGTTTTATGTGTTTGTTGGCCTTGTCTTTATCTTGGCCCTATGATGATCTATTTTTTATGGAGAGTTGTGGAAACAAGTAAAGAGAAGCTATTCAGCTGATGAAGAATATTCATGAATGGGCATGACTGAAGAGCGAATCATGCTAGTTTCCATAAGTATATGATGTGTTTAATGCTTTAACTATTTATAATATTATTATGCATGAGACCAACACAAAAGTTTTGATGTTGGTTTGGTTTTAATAAGGGCCTATAATGGTTCGAAGTTATAGGTTGATTTTATTCTACTTCGTTTGACTTGGGTTTTGACTTTATTTTTGTTGGTTGACTTTTTGAGTTGACTTGTTTTGAATGGTTTTGAAATTAGTCTTCCACTGTGTGTCTTTGATAGTTGTCTTAGCCGTTTTCACGGTGGCGGTAATATCTTAGATATTCCTATTAAAAGTCTTAAAAAGAGCAAAACATATATTTTAAAGGAAAGAAATTTCTAGGGTGTTACAAAGTGGTATCAGAGCTTTGGTTGAGATTTTATTACCACTAAAATAAAAAATGTGTTTTAATTTTAAACTAGGCCAAGTACTTAATTAATGGTGAAAATTTTTAGAGAATTATTTTATTTTATTTTGGGAAGATCAAATATTTATTGAAAAAATTTTGAAAAAAAAAACGATTTTTTTTTAATTTTAAAGGGGGGTCCGAATTTTTTTTAGTACGGATTGAATTTTTTTTTTTTATGTTGGGAAGGTCCGAAATTTCTTTTGTTAGGGGGGAGGGCCGAAAATTTTTGGTCTTCTTCCCTATATAATTTCAAAAATATAAATTAAAAAGGAGTCAAAATATTTTTTTTAGTTTGTTCTTTTGCAGGAAAGCAAGGATTGAGGTAAGTATTATGTGTTTACAGTTTATAAAAGCATGTTAGTGAGAATGAGTAGGAAATAATTTGGGCATATAAGTTAGAAATAATCATGTTCTTGTATACACTACTCCCTCCGTTTTTAACTACTTGCTCCATTTCTCAATGCGCGGAGTTTTAGGAGAAATTGGAGAAAATAATAATATATGGAGGTAGTGTGGTAGGTGGAAGAATAAAAAACTGTAAAAAGAAAAAGTAGTGGAGAGGATTGGAGGAGCGAAAATATGTTGTGGGTCCACTAGGTGAGAGAAATTAGTTAAATATTGTAAAAACTTTCCAAATAAGAAAATGGAACAAGTATTAAAAAAACAGCCGAAAAAGGAAAGTGGAGCAAGTATTTAAAAACGGAGGGAGTAATATTTAGGTCGTGAATGTTTAATCATGTGAATATATATTGCTTGAGGATATGTATTTATGTGTTTAGAAATAAGAAAATTGTTTGATTAAACATTGAATCTAATTCATGTAAGAACTATATTATTTTGTTTTCTATGGGAAAGGGAATTCTTTTCTAAGTCTTTTCTTTACAGGATTCCGAATCTTCCTAGCAGATACACCAAATTAGGCTCTCTCACTAAGAAACCTAATGAACATCCCTATGATTATGTTCAAAAGATTCGCTTTTAGTGTTCTTATAGGAGCAATATTTTAAGGGACAGGGTTTTTGATAGCCCTGATCGTATATCAGCTATGATTATTCATTGTTTGCTGAGGAGCCTCCTTATTATGCTGTCAAAGCCAAATGTGATGATTTCTACTTACCAGGGGACATCCTAAATTACTACAAATATAGGGACTAATATGGACAGTGATACCCTGATTTCAGATTTTTTATTTCCTACCTTGTTAGGGTAGAGAAAGCCCATTGCCGAAAATTCAACCTTCCATACCTTGACTACTATTATGAAAATCCAGTGGGGCAAAATCCCCTTATCCTAGTCACCATTCAGAGAATTCTTCTTCTTCTTCTTCTTCTTCTTCTTCTTCTTCTTCTTCTTCTTCTTCTTCACTTGGTGGTTAAGCAGAGAATGGAGAGTAAGGGGAGGTAGATAGTTCACTCATGGAGATTTCTAACCCAAACCCACCTCCAACTCCAATTATTATAGAAATTTCTTCTGATGAGGAGTAAAACGGAGAGTTCGTGCAGGTGGAACCTGAACCAATGGAGGAGACATATGATCTTGAGTTCGACCCTGGTAGCTACAAGCAATCGGAAGACAAGAGAGACAACATCCGAAAGGATTAGATTCTTTATAGTTTTCCTCGTTATGGATACTCAGTTTTAATTACTGTTTATTATTATTATTTTAGTTTTAAATTAATAAGTGGCATGACCACATTGAGTCAGTGAGCTTATGTAGTACATAAGTTTCTAGAACTCAATATATTTTAGTAATTCTATTTTATTTTAATTAATAAAAACCCTATTTATTTCTTTGTTAAATTATTTATATTATTAATAAATAATTCTTTCATTTTCCAAAATCTTCCATTTCACATCACCATCCCAATAGCCAAATTTCAAAGCAAATTAATTCCAATAAATTAATTTTAAGCTATGGGGATTTATGGGAATTACTTTTTATTATTTATGTGATGCTTTATTAAATGCATGGTTGGTTAGCAATCAATAATTGATTGACAAAGCTACAAATTTAGGGAATTCTTAGCTTTTGCTATCCCAATTTGTTAGCTTCAAATTTTACTGTAATGTTTCAAGGGTGTTAAGTGATAGATGAGTGTATGTCTTGAGAGCTAACCAAAGCCATTTCTAATATAAACCCTTGATCTTAATTTAGGAAAAGCAAATTGGCAGGGGGGGAGTAATTCTGGTAATGATATGATGGAAATGATTTGAATGAAGTAGTGAGACAATTGACAGTTGTAGCCCAACAGTT